GACTCCGAACAACAACGTGATGAACTCGTAACTGAGTGACAAAGGAAAAATGGCGGACCGCAGCTTAGCCAGGCGGGAACTCTCACCGCGCTGACAGTACCTGATGGTTGGGTCGCCTTTGTGATGGCCAGTTCAGCTTTGTCAAGATGGTTAATCCGTCCATCTCAGCCACAGTGACATCCGCCGTAAGATTCTTGCTGGCTTGGCCTACTTGTGAGGGTATGATAACATACATTGCTGGTTGCACCACTAAAAGATGCAACAGTCGGATTTAATTTAGGCGTATAGGTAAATTGGATTCGTGCTTGGTCACATCGGTCAACGTGGCTGGTGAATCTAACTATTTTTGTTGGTTCTCACGGCTTTTTACTTTTCAACCATACCGCATTAGCTGTTAGAGACAACCTATTTTTTTCCGTGTGAATTCTCTTTTTATGCTGTTTGCCTATTTTGAAATCTCTGTAAATGAAAACTAAAGGGGTTGATATGTGCGAGTTAATGACGCGCCTTATCAACACATTGTGTTGGAGTTCACTGCTTGTTTTTTATTTTTTATTCTTTTTTTATAGATATGCAATTTGAGCCAGATCAAGGTCACGAAGGTGGTGATATGGGTTACGCGGGAGAGGAGGAGGAACTTGAGATGGAGGAACCGGAGGAGGAAACAGAGGAAGAAGACGAAGATGACGATCTTGGTGGTGGCGGTGGTGGATACATGCGCCCTATCGCAATGAACATGGGCGCCATAATGGCAAAACCTAGCATGGAGCCGCAGAAAATCCCCAACTCAGGGTCAGTGAGCCTCAAGAAAGAACCATCCTCGATGATGTCTGGCATGAGTTGGCCCATGAGACCCATGCAGATGATGCCTCTTATGGGAGCGCCCACTGGAGGTAATTTAATCTCTATGAATTCGTGAGTGAATTTCCGACTGAATTTTTGGGAGCACGCAAATGTATGGGGACAGAATATAAGCTTATAGAATGTTCAAATTACCTGCTAAATTCACTAAATGTGTCCATAAAAGGATATTGCTAAGTTGTCAGGGAATGATACATTTCTCCGTCAAAGATGTTTTCAGACGATGTGCATTTTGATGCTTTGTCGAACGAATTGCGTTCAAAAAAGGGTGATCGTGAATTTTTAAAAATAAATTATGAATTTGGTTTTCCAAAGTGAATATGCTATTTGCGACCTAGAAAATGATCACTTATGGATAGTATAAAAAGCCATGAATACCTATCTTCAAAGCTATCGAAAGACCGAAATGTTTAAGAAAACTTGCATTTCGTATTTTAGGGCTGAAAAATCGATGAGACTTTATTCTAGATGTGTTTTTAATATCAGCATGATGTAATTTTGAATGACTAGAAAATGACTAGAACCAGGGCGTTGTTTAGTGCCAGAAAATAGTGTCTTCCCAAAACTCTTTGAGACGCACTGAAACAGCCCTTGGAGCTTTGTAGATTTCTGGTAACTTGTCGCACAGCAGTAGTTTACAACAGTCCGTTGGGACCGCTAGGCAACATAATGGGAAGTTTACTGATATTGAACAACATAATTTTTTCTGACCTCCTCTGAGTCAGATGTAAAATATAACCGCTATTAAAACATGTTGCCATAAGTTGAATACTCTCAGTTTTGCCCAAAAGAGAGCATGTTCATCAAATAATTGTGTTTCCTTCGAAAATAGGTTGTCTCACTAGTTTTTTTACATTTGATTTCAGGTGAAATGATGATGCCCCTAAAAAGTGGTGACGAAGACGACGGTGGCCAAAACATGGTGCCCATGATGATGATGATGATGCCATCCTCCGACTCATCGCACCACGACAAGCATAAACACAAGGACAAGCATAAGCACAAAAAGAAGAAGAAGAAAAAGAAGCATAAGAAGAAAAAAGAGAGTGCAGCCGCCGCTATGATGGCCGATAAAATGGACGGTAGTGGGGATGGTGGCGGCATGATGCCCGACCCCTCCACCATGATGAAAATGGGGATGATTGGGGTTGGGGGTATGGTTTTGCTCATCCTCAAAGCCATCACGCTGATTTCGGGTAAAGCCGTCCTCGCCAGCACCATAGCGCTTACCTTATCCATCATCATGGCCTTAAAAGCGCTCTTCAACTCAGTCCATGCGCATCCACCAGAGGGCGCTGATAAGGTCATGACTTACATGAAGAAGCCGATTCACATCAACGCTGACGCTGGTTACCCGGACTATAGGAACTACCATGGGAGTGACTGGGGCTACCATGATTCTAGCTACTTTCCAACAAAGAAGTCCGGGAAGCTGCCAGAGTATAAGATAGACAAGCTCAAGCGAACTGATAAGACTCCTACAACCCTAGCTCAGACTGAATTCACAACGGGTAGTCCCGTCAACCCTTTCGATTTCAACCCGGAGACGTATAGCTCGGCAAATATTATAAACTATAAGAGTGGTCTGAATAACAGTGGTATCAGCCAATTCTATTCACATTCCGTCCCACTTTATACAGGATACGCTCCGATCAATTCTTGAGGATTCTTTTATTCTTGATAATAAAAAATTAAAAATGATCGCAATATTTTTCCTTACCTTTTGCAAAAAATAGTTTGAATCTACTATGCTACTACTACAAATTCTCATGTTCTGATATTCCCACATTGCAGTTTTTTACTTTAAAAAAAGAAAACAGTCATGGTTGCACATTTATTTCTGTATCTGAAAAGTTTTATATAGTCCAACAGCTCTCTGTGTTCTTTTTGCAAACCTAACCGATGAATCGTAGAACTAATTTAGTATTGCTCAAGTTCACGAACATATATTTAATTGTAACATTTTTGCTTTTACTGTGCACAGAATTATGACATTTTTACAAGTCTTTTCCGCCCTTGTTTTTCACTAATCATACAGCGACCGTTACAGGTTTCGCCTATTATGGTAACGTGCTAAATTGTGAAATTTTTCGTACGAGGTTAAACTATTTTTAAAAATCAATGCACATGAAACAAACCTCCTAATGTTAGCTACTGTCCGTGGTATTACTACTTACCACATTTTTACTGCAGATACTAACAATAACAAACTGACATGAAAATTGATACTTCTGGTTTATGGATTTGAGGCAATGCAAAGCAGTAAATGAGATCAACTCAATGATGCTAAAAGGTTTTCCAGTAGAAACACAACGTATAATAGGGACACCATTGTCTTCCATTTTAAAAAATAGAAATGTACTTTATAGAACAAATCACACAGGTCTACTGGCTGCTGCAATATGTTGAGGATTCAATAAATATGGAAAACTATTGTCGCAAACTTTGACAAACCTGTAGAAAAATTCTGATAGAAACGTCGTGCAAGAGTTTGTGACAAAGAGTTTCATGCAGATACCACATAAATTCCTCGAATATAAGCGAGGAGTGCATACTTTGATATTTTCATTATTATTAGATGAAATTCCATTACGAGGCACCATTGTGCCACTCAAAATCTTGTGTATTGACAAGCTTTATTCGAGATGGATGCCGAGGAAGTGATCGACAAACCAGCAGGTAAGCACTACTGAAACCTGAAATCTTTCAGTATTTTACCTAGGTCCCTCTTTGAGGCATCAACTTGGCTTAACTAAAGCGGACACACGCAGCGTGATGACCAAATCCTAACGTGTAACCCAAAAGTTAAACGAATAAGTATTATTTTCATCGTCTTGATAGGTTTAAGATGATAATGGTCTTAAATTATTTTTCAGGAGTTTACTTAAAAATGTAGAGCATTTCATTATGGAATAATTACGCTCTGAAGAATAATGCAATTCTCGTTGGCTCTCGATTAGTCATGATGCCTTATTTAAATACAACTGATTCGTGGTATCATTTTGTGAGCAGGCGCATGGCTTTATACATTGATGTGCTGACGCTAAAATAAGCCATGTGGAATAAAGTATGAATAAAAAAGAACTATGCACATTTTGTCTAGAAATATATTGCATGGTAGATATTCCATATTGTGTTGCGTGCCTCGTCTGTTATTTTGATTTTATTATCCAGACACTGATAAAAGAATTATGGTTTGGGGTACGGTGATATGAGTATGCTATTCACCAACAGACTCTATGGTAGCAAATGTGTAACTTCAGACGAATTCATCAAAAGTATGTAAAATACCACCAGGTGTCTAGTTCCCGACCTCATAGTATTACTATATCAAAAATTAAGTATGCTCATGATGAACTTTAACATTTTTCCAATAAAATTGTCCATAATTTGTTTCAGTGAGCAAATCTTATCATACCATATACATTTTAACATGATTATCTGAGTACCTATAAAAGTTTAGAAAAAAAAGAAGAAACAAGATTTGCAATTTTATAAAAATCTATAAATCCAAATATAAGGATGGCTAGAATGCAAAACCTCATATTTCCGTTTGTGACGTTGCAGACTTTCTCTCGTACATGCTTTTTCTTTGGAAAATTAGTCCAAGTAATTTGTCTTCTGTGAATATTTTTTATGAATTTGAAGCTATAAACTTAGCTTGTTCCTCATCATGAAATTAAAAAGGAGCGGAAATTTCATAACATAACGATTGAGATATCGGCGGTGAATTTTCCAGATCACGTATTTCGGTTTGCCACTTTACAGACTTCCTGTCATACTTTACTTTTTAAAAGAAAACTACTCAACGTCAATCCTTGAAAACCGCTGTGTTTTTCCTTCTCTGTGCGAAGAAAACTCTGAAAATCTAAAGAAATTATGTTGGTTTGTTCTCATTGAAAAATCAAAATGAGAGCGGAGATTTTTAAACATCACAACCGAGGTACAAGGTCTGGTAGTTCCACCGTCGATATGTGGTTTTGATACTTAAGTGATGACAAAATGGTGCCAAGAGTCGTCAGTGAAGTCATAAATACACTTTAAGAGGTATTATTTTACTTCCTATAACTTCATGTTATCAACACAAAGCATGACATTTTTTATGGTGCAAATTTTAAATAAACAAACAATAAAGAGGATTCGCTCGCCTTAATTCAATTATTGTCGGGCCTGGCGTGCACGCAAACGATGGACTATGTGGTTAAGGAGACGATAACAAAGCGTGCGATGAGCGTTATCACAGCGCCGAGCAGGAGGATGCATCTCAAACGCTTTTCAAGTCTATTTATTGTGTTAATAAGGAGGAGTAATTGCCGAGCAAGCCGCAGTAACCCATATAACCAAGACACCATCATTGGGTCTGCATACACCCTTGTGCAGTGTGCATGTGCATGGAAGTTCGCATACTGATGAGTCTCGCGCTCCCGAGATCAAGGAATGTAGATAAGCCGCTGACTCCCTGTGCAGCAGCCTCCCGCGAAAACCAGAGTATGAAATTTCCTTGTATATGCACTCTCTTCTTGTGCCTGAGTTTCTCTTTAAATTAATGGAAATTCACCTAGAAAAGGGTCATTCATATATTTTGATGCGAAGAGAAGAGGACAAATGAGGGGCTCGGAGGACAATGGGCAAAAGTGCATGTTTGTGCTATTTTGAAAAATCCGAATATGAAGTTTCGAAATTACATGGATACTGGCGTGAAAAAAGTTTATATTGACTTATTGATGCTTGAAAATTGGAAATTGGGAGCGAATTTTTCACAGAATTTGTATCAGGACTTGTTTTATTTGTAATCATTCATCGCTCACCTTTTTCAAATACTGCACTTCTGTGGCTTGTCCTCCGAGCCCCTCAAATGAGTCTGTTGCACACAAGAGATACAGCCAATTGAGTAAACATCTGTATGAAAAACTGCACGAATATTAAGTTAGGCATATCAGAATGTCTAAAATCCACACCTTCAAACTCAGTTTGCGTATCAGTGAACGCTTGAACAGGATTGCAATCATATATGATAGGGATAGTATGCGACATGATCTGAGTATTAAAATTAGGTTTCCTTGCTTCTTTTCCTGGGTAAAACTGATTTCTGGCGACTAAACGAATTGTCCACATAAACGGCAAATTTAAACATTTGCAATACAATTTACATAAATTATGTGATGCTAGAGTCATTGCGCATATCGAAACAGGGCAAAATTTGAATTTTTGCACCCTCAAAAATCAAAACATTGCTAAAAATTGGCTTTAAAAATAATTGGTTTCTACTTTTAATGGCATGCACAGATAAGTCTTTTTGAGATATTTCATTTAAAAAAAGTTCAACTCAATTCAATTTTTCGTTCAAAAGTTAGAGGCAATTAAAGGTTTCGCCTTTGGCATCTCCCCCACCGCTCTCTGGAGGAAGGAGGCCCCAAACCAAAAAATCCGTCATATGTGAGCGATTCACTCCAGAAACAATAGATGATTTCTGATAGGGGAAACATCTAATGGGAGATTGAACAACCTCCTTTTATACATTTTCATCAATTTTTATTAATTTTATTCCTTTCATACGTGTCTGATACGGAATCGACTGCAGGGCAAGCAGTGTCCATGCACTAGTCTAAAGAAAAAGAAGAAGAAGACGGAGGAGCATTGTGAGTTCACGCCTCGCGCCAAGGCGCCTTCAATTTTGCAGACGCAACACGGTCATCCATCGTGCTTGAATAGTTGTATCTCTGCGCCGTCATTAATGCGCGTTCTTTCCCTTGCTCTATTTTCATGCTGTGTTGTTTCCGTTTGTCTTATTATTTATCTCTGGAAATCTCGAGCTGGGTCATTTTGATCCGACAACTATCTCTACTGAAGGCTTTTCATATTGCGGATTATGAAGGGGAGGGGGGTGAGAAAGAGCCAGTATGTTACCAAGGAGGTGGAAAAAAAAGAAGAGTTTTTCTTTACTCCAAAACCATAAAAATAACAACTAGTGCTTCAAAAACTATTAAAATCAATGCATTTAAGCACGGGTCAGTTTGACTCGGCTTGTGATGTGACTTTGCTTCTTTTAATAAAACACGTCTTGGGCACCTGAGGGTCAAACTACGGGCATTTTTTGCAAAAACTGGATCATAAAAGAATTAAAATAAACTGGATTGCATTTTGCAAAAAGGAACCACGAGCATTGCTATGTTGCTAAGGTTGTGCAACTTCATCCATTGCACCATAACTATTGAAATCCTGGAAAAATGTGGCATTTACAAGGAAATGTTTGTCCTAAATTTACAGTTTTTAGCAAGTAAAATAGGAATCGTTTAAAGATAATCAGGCTTTTATCCAAGACAAAAGAAGCTGCATAATCTTAGCAACATTGCAATACTCCTGGTTCCTTTTTGCAAAATATAATCCAACTGCTTAACTTATTCCGTATAGACTCCTAGCTTTGACCGACATTTTCTACCACTTTATAGACGAGGTATCTCAGGACATCTTCGTGTCAAAAAACTGGAGGTAAGTTGATAATGCGTCATAATACTGAGGTATCAAAAATGAGACACAAAGTAATTGACCCAGAAAATCCGCCTTACCCGGCAAAAACCTCAGATGTTTACTGCCGTGCCAAGAAAAAACGCCGTATGAACATTTGAGAGCTGCCAAATTTCCTCCGATAAAACATGTATTTTTAAGGAAAGCTATTCATATTTTTCCTTGAAATATTCGGAAAATTGTGATAAAAATGCGAGCAAAATTACTTGGAAATTTAGAGAAAAAAATTCAAAATTTTCTCAGTAAATTCCGTTTTTATAGAAGGAAATCTCGCAACGTCTGAAGGCTCATGCGGCGTTTTTCCTTAGCACGGCAGTATAGGACAGTTTTCATCCGCAGTGCGCCTCTCTTGCTCGACAGGGCTAAACAACTCACTCCAGACCCGATTGTCGCATACGCGCATGCCTAATTTAACACATTTTCTCACGACTAAACACACAGGAGTGTGGGTGCGTGTTTAACGATCGAGTCTCGAATTTGAAGGACGGTGTGTGTGAAGCCGAGCAGTGCGGCAGAAAGTAAGAATGAGTGAAATTTACGGAGGTGGACTCCTTTTCAAGGGTAATTGTCATCAGTGGCGTTGCGTGCTTTGCGATATATCGAGTGTTCTGCCATTTAAACCCATAGAAAAGAATCGACGAACGAGTTTTTCACAACGAACACCTTAATAATCGATTTTTTTACCGTAGCTTCAAATGGAGAAATATCGATAATCGATCACTCGCGCCTCATCACAGATTGTCATCGACGCGCCGCAACGGCACCATAACGAAAACACGTCGGTCTTCCGACGTAAGAATGAATCTCCATTTCCTTGTGGACCCTGTTGTCAATGTAACTTAATGCTATTCGCGGCTCACGTGGACATTGAGATACGCTTTTACGTTAGAGAGGTGACGGAGTGAGTATCGAAGAGAGGAGCAGGGGCTCCTAGGCGACATTCACGATGAGAACTGAGCTGCAAGACAACGAACCAGGAACGATGGTTGTTGTCAAATTGCTTCAAATATATTTGAAATTAAGATTAAGCTTGCGGCAAGCTTGATACATGCAGGGATTTACTTGCTCCATGAAAGAAACCTGAAAACTTGAACTTGATTGAGAACTGTAGAAGCAAAATGAAATAATGTATGCGTGGCTACAAAAGTCTAAAAATATGTCCCTCCGTTGAAAATTTCAGAAAATTTCTCAATTTTTTTTATTTTTTTAATGAAGTGACCAAAATTCTCTTAAAATTGTCTGTAAATATTAGTAAAAACATACATTACAAGAAACAATTTTAAAATAAAAATTAACTTTTCGGTTTTTTGCTTATAAAAAAATGAATTGAATTCTGCTGCAAATAAGTCATCATTAACACACATTTTCTTTTCTTTTTCTCTCTTTTTACTGTAGCCATTGATATTTTAATGAAATTATAAGCACTCCATTAAGTGGTATCATCACTTTTTTAAGCAGCTATTTTATTTTTCCCCCAATTTCGCATGGAAGCGCTGTGAAGACGATGTAAAAAATAACAAAATGCAAATGTAACCTCAAAATTAAAAAAATGGCGAGCTTCTTACTTCCTGCAAAATTTTCAGTTTGCAGATGGGCGGTATTGAACCTTGGCCATCGATATATTAATTGAGGGACTTGGCTAACAAGGCACATAAGTTCAGTTTTTGAAAAAATTGAGATATTAACGATTTCAAGTCCTAGTCTCAATGCATACTCTTCGAAAAATTCGCTCCATTGATACCAATTTTTAAGCATCAAAACGTCAGTTTGAACTTTCTTTCCGCAATAAAGATCCATGTAATTTCGAAAGTTCAAACACAGATGTCCTTCTCGAAATAGCAAAAACTGCACGTATGAGCCTTGTCCTCCAAGACCCTCAATTCCACAAGTTTAAACGATGTTACGAAATTTCCGAGTTGAGGAGTCCTCAGAGGTAGTCATTCACTTGTGATAGAATTTTTGCCTCTACTCATTTGAATATACACTAAAGAAAAAATACATTGGATCTAGAGTCCAGACTCTTGAAAACGTTGACAAGAAAAAGGACTCTTGATTCAATCAGATTTAAGCTTAAATCAAAAGGAAATCCGCTCAAATTAAGAGGCTTGGTTCTTGATATAAGCTTAAATCTGATTGAATCAAGAGTATTTTTTCTTGTCAATGTTTTTAAGAGTCTGGACTCTAGATCCAATGTGTTTTTTTTTCCAGTGTATGGAAATCAACCATAATAGCTATCCCGAATCTCCTCTGACTATATTCCCCCAACGCCCGACAACAATGGCTCGGCGCCGGGCGTGTAATTACCGCGGATTAACATCGCAACTCCCGAGTAGGTAGTTGGGTCATCACACGTACTTTTAATTTTAGTTACGCTCTGAAAATGCGTACATATTAACCATATCGGCTAGTCGCGCAAATGACTATATACGCATAAACATTAACTTATTCCCCTTAGTCTAGTCTCAGTCTGGATGCGGCGCAGGACGCCTGGATCGCATTGTACACCTACCGTGTTTACCGTAGGCTTTAGGATGACCTTTGTCAAATCCATCAGGCAAGTTCCTTTCACTCTTACTGTGACACAGCGGTGCGTGTTTTTCGGTGTCAATGATGACCAGTGCCCGGTTCTAATTGGTGTTTTCACTCCTGACGGGGCATCGTTTATGGTTACGGTGGTCATCAGCGTGGGAGCCAGCTGATGGGTGGAATCTTACATTCCCGAAATTAGTGGTTACGTCCGCGCAATCACTCAGTGTTAAATTGACGGAATTTTGTGCAACGTGTTGAGTGTGGTGTGTGATAACGAGATCTTCTCGTTTTAATTGGTGTGAAGCGTGAGCCCCGAATATTTTCATTTCTCCCGCATTCAAAGCGTTTGATGTGATGAGCTCGTTCATTTTCACGCTCATGTGATGCGTTTTGTCCGGTCGAGACAAGATGTGTAAAAAAAAGTATTTAATCACTCAGGATCTGATAAGGAGCTATGGTTACTTCCTTGGTAAGAGTAGCAAGTGTTAGATCAGTAACGCTTCCGCTTCGAACGAATCGGACATGTTGACCTAAGTTTCCATATGCAGGTCAAATTTTTTTCCAATGGATTAATATAAAACGCGAAAAAACTAAGTTGGAATATAATCATATGATCTAGTCAATTATTGCACACTGACAATCAAATTCCATAGCAGGGACTGAACTTCATTTTAAAGACCAAACTATTTCGGTTCGGTAGTCAGAAGATTCGGTCATACGAATCAAATTTTGGTAAGCTGGATCGAAGTTAGGTTTCTGTGAACCTAATTCTCAATTACCTGAACTATCAATATATTTCGGCGCTTCATATGCACCCAGCTATTTTCTCCCAGTATCACTAGAATTCTTTGCTGTGCCTTTATTGGGTCGGATAATCGACAAGATATCCGTATTTCTATTGGTCATTGAAAGCCAATCATTTTTTGATTTGATAAAGTTACGATAGGTAAATCGAATGTGATAAAAACAAGCAATATAATCACTCCATATTGACCACCTAGTGACCGCACCGATGTCTGTAATCACATGAGTGAGTCAAGAGGTGAGTATCTAATCATGGTCAGTGATTTAAATCAGATCCAGGAATGAATGCTGCTGAACTAATACTCGCTACTTTTTGGACAAAAATTTGGAATTCAAAGCACAAACTAAAACCAAAAAGCTCATGTATTGACTGTGATGTATGGTTGAAATAGAACAGCGCATACTTTCGATTGAAATGTCTTTGGCCATCGATATAACATTTTGTAAGTCCGAGGAGTAAATCGTACCAATCTGCTATACTAATCAATAACTTCGGGAGCTTGTGATTGATAATGTTGATTATTTGAAATGTAAGCTTGCTGTCTTAAAACGCTTGATTCGTGAATCGGCCTATCTTTCCTGTTCTCTTGAGGCTTCAACTGAGAAACTTGCATTTGAGAGATATCCTTTCTAACGCAGAATGGGTTATATGTTTTCATTCTCAATTGAAAAAATGAACCTAGTTATCCAGCTAAACTCGATAAAAATTTAAAAAGAATCCGTTCGGATTGGATTAGAATTTTGCTTGAATTTGAAATTAACATGGCATTTGTAAAAAAAACAGGTTTTTACAGAGACTATTTTGACACTTACCTTTTCTGGAATGATTATTCATTGCTCATCTATATTTCACCTTGACTAACCTGAATGAGAACTGTTCTTTTCACCTAATCCTGCCTCTGTGTCTTTTTCTCCTGTACCTCGAATGATTTTCATTATTTCCGAGTGATGTGGAAATATATTTACCATATTATCTTGAAATATTCTGAGTAGGACTTTTACTTGGACAGGTAAAATAAGAGCAGAATATTTTCTCTCCGGGATCACAGCTCAATTGATTAGAATTTAATAAAAATGAATCAAAATCAGTTAGAGCAGTGAATTAATGTGAGAGCAATAAAACAATTAAAGTCGATTAGAGGTCAAACTCAGGACTAGAAGGTTCACATATAAAGCCGAAAAATATTTTGCCGGCGATGTGAACACGTTCTTGATTCGTGATGTCACAGTTACAAACCTACCAAATATGACCGTTTAGTATACCGTTCAGTCAACCTTTGGTCATACTGGTCAACGCTTTTTTTTCAGATTTGCGCAAAACTTGGCAAATGTTTCAGGGTGAACTTTTAGCGCTAATTCCGAAAATGATCCCTGTTCTTCTAGATCACTTCGATTTTCTCCAGAAAAATCGGAATTTTCTCTAAAAATTGAGTTCCTTCAAAAAAAAGTCCAGTTTTTAGATAATCTGTGCACTAGGGAGAAAAATTAAGGTCATTTTGGGATTTAGAAGCCAAAAATATGTTGAAATTGATGTACTGCATGCCTACAAAAATTTACTCTGTTCCTGAATTCGAAATTTTTCCGATCAGATGCTCCCTCCCGCCCATTTACTGCATGTAATAAGCTCGCAATATTGTCTTTCTTTGGAACGGAGGGGTAAACATTTTTTTCGTCAGGTAATAAATGCGGTCATTTTCGCTAATTTTTCCCCGCTGAAGCCGAAAATGATCTTCGCTTTCTTCCTAAACCAACCAAATTTTTTAAAAATCGATTTTTCAAAAAAAAATATGCGTTTTTTCTATTCAGAAAAAATCCCTTTTTTGAAAACTTGATTTTTGGAGTTTTTTGGAAGGCAACAAAGATCACTTTTGGCTGCAGCGGCAAAAATTGAGTGGTGGGAACCCCATTTGCTACCTGAGAAAAATACATTTTACCCTCCTATCCGAAACGAAACAATGGGATGAGCTTTACTCCGTAGTATAAGGGTGGGATAAAGGAACCTTTGACCGGGAAAACCTCAAAATTAGGAACAGAAAGGAAATTTTTATAGGCATGCCCATGCATTAGATATTTTTACATGTTTTTTTGGCTGCTAAATCCAAAAGTGACCACAATTTTTGTCCTTAGTATAAAGATTACCTGAAAAATGACCATTTTCTGAAAAAGCTCATTTTTTAGGGGAAATTCCGATTTTTCTGGAGCAAATCTAACTGATCTAAAAAACAGAGGTCATTTTTGAAACCATACGCTGAAAATCTACTCGGCCTCTGATGACAAATTCTGGCAAATCGACCCGTGTTGACCGGTGTCATCAGTCATCATTACTTAAATCCGAGCATTGACCTCCAAAAGCAACTTTAACTTCACAAGAGATATGGTAGTGCGGGGTCATTAAAATACACACGATGAGCCAAAAGTCCCACACCAGCAGCACTAGCATCACCCCTGTAACTTTTTAGCAACATAAGACAGAGATTTAAAATTGTGTGAATGCTCCTAGGTCAGAAGCCACAACTTTTGCTGCCCTCAAAAAATTTCAAGGGTATCACCCACAAATAGAGAATGAATCCTAGAAGTTAAAGGGGCTGGTACGGGTTTTCTTGATCACCCTGTATTTTCTGTGACTAAGATTCTATTCCGGAGACTGCGAGTCGCCTCAGTCCTGCTCAGATGTTCTCGAGAGTACGTAGCCTCACTTGACGGAGCCAGTGCTGAGTATCAGTGTGACTGCGAATTGTAATTACCCGTCCCTCGGTTGAGGAGACAGATGATTATTCAGAGATCCGCGATAATTATGGCGGGCAGGAGACGCTTGTAAGCGCGTGTAGTCAGCGGGGATCCTACGCCTCCCCAACGAGCCGAGCTTCCACACACGAATAAGCAAGTAGCTTGGAGAGCCACACCATTTTTTTATGTCTTACAACTTTCAACATGACCCCCCTGTCAATCTGAACGAGTATCTTGAGTGCGTGGGCGTAGACTTGAATTGTAGCAGGCGGGTTCCAGATTGGTATCTTATATCGAGGGGCCCCACTTAGCTACTACGGTGACTAAACCTACGAGAGCTTTTTCGCGACAATAGAAAATCTGGGTCAAAATTGGATCGAGTTCACCAGAAAGAAACCAACCCACATTAAGTTAAAACTAAGAAAAAGAGGTTCGAAGTTTTATTCCTGCATGAAGCTCAATGTAAAAAATAAACTATAGCCCCTCTTTTCACAAAACAATTTTGTTATTAAACTTTCAGTTCTTGGCAGGAGAGAATATACGGCTAGTGAAACTCAAAAACATTCTTTACTCAATTTTTTCGATAATGTGGGTTGGTTCCTTTCTGATATACTTGGTCCAATTTGATGGATTTCTACTAATAGAAACCAGAGACGGTTGGAAAAGAAGGAGTGTGCTTGTTAGTTGAGGGTCATAAGAATGAACGGAAATTAAAATGCGCCAATGACGTCAGCAGAGACAACCGGGCTCGACGAGCTAAACGATGCCGCATTAACTCATAAGCCCTCTCCACGACGCTCTTGTCGCATGCCCACGGCTCATGAGTGCCGCACATTTTGGCACTTAGTTCCGTTTGATTTAGTGAAAAATCCCACTCTCCTATTTCCACAAAAGGAATCTCGCCCACTATTACATTGTTTTTGTTCAGCTTTCTAGAGCACACCCCTTGTTTCCTACCCGTCTCTAGTTCCTTTCAGCAGAAATACGTCCAAGTCCAAAATTCGATCCTGACAATACGCAAAGAAAAAGTATGTAAAACGATAGATGATTCTCTGTAAGCCAATTGAATCAGTGCGCTCAAAAAGGACGGTTCCTTAATTTTCAAGATTTTTTTTGGGGGGAAGGGGGGTTTTTTGATACTTTTTACGTGATATTCATTCACGTTCCTGTGCGTCTATCACTAGCTTACCACAAAGCGGACTACCACTTTTTTTCTGTGATGATTTAGTTTAAACAACCAAAGAATTAAAAAATGCAACCAAAAAAAAACAGATTTTGAAAAATGGACTGCTCTCTACTTTTGAAGCACTGATTCAATTTGCAGATAGAAGCATACATAGTTCAACAAGCCGAAGGGTAAGGGCCGCTCAGGCAAAGAACCGGCAGGCCGCAATCTTTCACATGCCAAAAGAGGAGGGCCCAAGGCTCTGGATTTTTAAGTCAACCAACCAATCTTGCTGAATACGTAAAAAGCCACATGATGGTGTCTTGAGTTTACTTCAAGTCTACAATCCAATCTATTTATTCGAATTTTAAATCGTGATTAATAAGATTGCGCATTGATAATTTGTTTCAGAATCACGTTCCTCGGCTCAATATGTTTAATAGTCATAGCATCAGAGACCACAGCACAATTTTATGATAATCAAAAGTTCATAACCGGCCTCAAGTTGGCATTAAACGTGTACAGACAGTGTGAAAAGCAAGACATAATGATATGCTTGAAGTCAAGAGCCCTGAAATTAATAGAGCGGGCGTCAAACTCAAAAAGCATTTCTATCTATGATGGTACGTATAAATTGTAATATTTTCTGTTATTTTCTCGATTTTAAATAATTATTTTCTCAATTATTAATTCGGTAACCATGCGACGAGGAATAATAATTTCGTCTGAATCCAGCTAGGAAGCAGTATGCCAATATAACCAAGTTAATCAGAAAAGTGCAATGAAGAGGAAAATGTTTGAAATTAGGTTCCCCTGAAAAACCTGGAGAACTTGAGATGAAAAGGAGAAGCCCTCGGCGCGGCGATCGGCATGTAACACATATTAGTACCTACAAGACTGCACGAATACTTCACGCATTGCATCAAACATAGTGCAGTCATTGTGGACAGCGTGAAACGGATAGCGCCTACAAGAATGCATGAATACCTCACGCATTGTGGCAAACACAGTGCGATCAGCGTGAGACGCATAGCGCTTACAAGACTGCGTGAATACTTCACGCATTGCGTCAAACACAGTGCGGTCTGCGAGGCGCGGCTGCGGAAGTTAAAATCATTAATCCACATTTATGTTTGTTCTTTCATAATTTTTCTGTTCATACCTTATGAATGGAAGGCCTTGTCCACACAGAGATAGGTTTACGAAACTTGACTTTCGCGCAAAGTTTCGTGAACATTTGCTAGTAATGTTGACAGGGCTTTCCCAAAAAATATATTCAACACCAGTAAACGCGTCTTATGCACCCCTCCCCCGCTGGCACGTTCATTTGATGGATTTCATTGATGTTTCATAACGAATGAGAAGGGGGCGGCAAAATACTAGCAGCCCATGGGCAGCAAGAAGGTAAATCCGGCCCTGGAGGGTATGCGATTGTCTCTACTTTAGCTCAAAAATACTGCTAACACATTGGGTTCCGCCAAAGTGAGGCGCTATTCTTTTCTGATCCGTCTAGTGCGAGATGATGATTACTGAGTTTCTTTTTCTCCACAGTGATTCTCAGTTAGTTTGAGGAAGCATTTGTTATTGAAAATGTCAAAATGATGCACTCAAGATGTTAAAGATGATCACTAGGTTAGCGAAAAATATGCACCTTTCTTCGGGTGGAAAAATACAAGTTTACATAGAGAAAAATTAATAAAATTTAGGCAAAAGTTCTCTTCTCTTCAGGACCGTCGGGATATTTCACTCAATTTTAATCAAACACATTTCAGGATGAATTATCATCAATTTAATTCAAAGTTCCTAAAGCTTTTCTACAAGTTTTTCAGTATGCTTTACAGATTAATCACCGTATTAGATGAGTAGTCCTAGCAATTGAAATCTCTCTAGATATTTTGAAAAATACGACTTAACTCAATGTTTTTTTAAACTGCCCTTTTCCTAATTACCTCTCACTGTTGTTTTGCCAGACGTCAAAATTAGATTGAAGGAGACATTTTATTTAAGTTTTCATACATAAAGAGATTGGTCATCTTTGAAGAGGTAGCTCAATTATTACATCACTTAATCTACAAGGAACTTTTTTATTTCAGGAATTACTCTAATAAAGTCAGCAGATACGGATGGTCGCTCTTTCTCGAAAAAGCATTTATCGGGAGTGGAGGGAGAGAGGACGGACGAGAAAACGTTAGATGAAATGCTGAAACACAATTTTGATTCCTTTATGCAAACGCATTCTATTCAACTAAGAGTGCCCAAAGCTATTTCCGATGGTATCCAAGAAGTCAAAGATTATTTGCTCATCAATGATAACACAGTTGAAGGTAAAGAATTTCAATTTGTTCTCCCTCACGTCATCTACTCCTTTGCACTGTTGATAAACTAAAGAACAGACTGCGTGAACGCTGTTTTTTTACATTTCCATCATGCACACTTATGACCCTAAAAGTGTGAAAGTAATTATTTTGAAAATATATGAAGATTAACTTATTTATTTAATGGTTTTCTTCATTTTTTCCCCACCCAAATGTTATACCGTAACTTTTTGTTACTTTACCCTTTTGTAACGTATGCCTGAGTCGTAAATCTGACGGCAATCTGATAAAATATGGCATAAAAATATTTCACGGTGGACTTGTATGAGGAGCTTAGATACTTCAGAGTCAAGCATCCACGCTGCTTGTAGAGCGAGTTTTTACTTAATTTGTTGAATAAAAATACTTTGATTTCTATGAGCTGAATTTTTACCGCTTTACTAGCATAATGAAACCTAAAATTATCATACTTTTGACTAACGACCAAAATTCTTGAGCTCATTATCACTCAAATTGTCGCTCATGAGCCTTGTTTTACTTATAAATCCATACGTTCTGGGGCTCATGCGGAAATCGAGATACAACCTTACGTCAGAGGAGCGACGACGCACAGTGGATCGAGCCAATGGAAGAAGTCGGACATTAAATTTTTGACAAAAATTGTAAAATTTTACGTTTATCTCATCACAATTTTAATTTTAGGATGTGATTTTAATAGAAAATTTCACGAGAAAACCAAGTTAACTGCTTTTAAAACATCAAAATTTCATATTATTGGAGATATACGCTTTTAAAGTTTTTAAATCATGTCCGACCTTTCCCATTGACTCGATCCACTGTGCGACGTCATGTCTGCCTTGTGCGTTTTGACCTCTAAATACATGCCTCATATGATGCCAGTAATTTTACTGCAGTTTTTTCTTAGCTTTTTATTTGCCTTAAAGCCTCTCCTGGCATATGTTTTTCAGGTCGAGACAAGAAGAAGAAGAAAATGGGCCAATTTGTCATGTGGGCAATGATGGTGAAAGGCGGGATGATAGCCATGTTCTTCAAAGGTCTAGCGATCGTCTCCGGAACAGCATTGGTGGCCAGCAAGGTGGCTTTGACTCTGGCCTCGATTATTGCAATCAAAGCACTGTTCAGCTCGGGGCATTCGGCCCATGAGAAAACCACTTACGAGATAGTCAAAACGCCAATAGTGACCAATAGTCATCAGTACTCGGCCAGCAGTCACGTGGGTGATTGGGGTCCGGCTGAGGTCGAGGGTAGCGGGCCCTACGCAAGGACCCTGGAGCTACCCGTCAAGCCCAACTACCCTTATCAGTATCACCAGCACCAGGATAACGCGCACAAGAGCGATATGAAACCGTCTCCGGTTGACCACTCCCATTATGGCAATTATTGAATGTCAAAAGTGGATCATCGAAAAAAATGACCGATATTGATACAGTAATATAAGGTTGCAATTATGCTCTTGTATGCGCGGGAATTTGCGATTTAAGTGCTTTTCCTGAGTAAAATTTCGCAAGAAACACGATGATGCCACTAGTTTTCTCTGAAATGACCTTCATATCTAAAAAAAAAAAAAAAAAAATTCAAAGTTGAGGCCATAATGGAGGAGATATTCCACCCGTCTTGAGAGCCCACCTCTATATCTAGTAAAATTCTCAATGCAAAGATAGGGAACAAATAAAGTAGCAGCGTTGCCGTACTTGCAGTTTTGAGGTTTTCAAACAATATGGCAACCCTGTTAATGTATTTGCTCCCTATCTTTGCATTCAGAGTTTGACTAGATATAGAGGTGGACTCTGAAGGTAGTGAGGGATATCCCCTCCATTATGGCCTCAACTTTGAGACCTTCTTTTATTTTTAGAGTTTGTTCCAATGAAAACCAGTAGAACCATCATTTGTCTCGCCAAATTTTACTTCGGAATCAGTGTTTCAATCGCAAAATCCTGACACATACGTACAGGAGGGTCTTTGACATACTCATCTTGCATGGTCCTAGGAGTCTGGGTGTATTCATCCAATAGTATCACTGTGTCATAAATCAAGTAGGTAAAATTTACCCACTGGTGAAATTCACCATACTTTTTTCTGCGAGGATAAGCGCCTCTGGAAATGTGAATAAAGCTCTTGTATGCCAGAAGGATTTGCAATTCAAGTATTTTTTCTCATGTAAAATGTGGTGCCTCTGATTTTCTCTGAGACACAGTTTCAGGCTCCCAAAAAGCTCTTAAAGGTAAGGTCGTGAATTGAGTGAATTGGTCACATTATGGTGAGAACCCCCTCTAAATTCCGTCAAACTTTCCATGCTAAGATGAAGGCTGAATACATTAGCAGTGTCGTCACTTTTTTTGGAGATTCCAAGACTGGATCAAAGCAACTCTGCTGATGTATTCGCTCCCTATCTGTGCATGGAGGGTTTGACTGCACATAGATGTGGACTCTCAGTGAGCATAAGAGGACGGCCTTTCATTAGAGTTTCGACTTTGAAAGCTTTTTCGAGCTTGGCTGTTCGTTTCAGAGAACTTAAGTGGTGCCCTAGTGTTTCTCGCGGAATTTTACTTGAGAGAAAGTACTTAAATTGCGAATCCTTCTAAACTCAACAGCTCCATCGTGTCCCTGGGTTGAACAATAGGTCTCATATAAAGCACCAGTAGTTCTCTCGAATTGGCATCAGTGTGTGTAGTCTATGTAAAAGTATGCATGGATAGATCTCAATGACAAAAAAAAAAAAAAAAAACTAAAAAATAAATGCAGAACTATAAAGCGTTTTTGTGGGGCAAACATAAACTTTTAAGTCCAATTTCTATTTAAAAACCCCGTTTATACGATTATCGTATTTTCTACGTTGCTCTTTTCATAACAAATGTGTTGAAACGTTCAGAAATTAAGTACTTTTAACTATAGATACATTTTATTAATAATCTGTTTTTCAGAATGATTATGCAACCACCGTGATTCTGTACGCTTCAAAAAAGTGTAGGTGTAGTTTTTGAGGAAATAATTTCTTCCCTTTGTGCTTAAAATTCTGATTTGCGAAATTTTCAAGTAGTACAATTATGACACTCAGATTCAAATTATCATTTGATAAGTCCTTTTTGAATTTTGTTTCTCACGGTGCAGATTTTGGTTCTTTTGAACCAGGAGTAGGAGGAAAGGATATTACTCTGACATCTCTTTCACGCCAAAAGAAAAAAAAAACCTAAATCTTTTCAAGTTCCTCATTTCAAGTTTTCTCTTTGATTGTAGATTATTGTGTGAATTTGTACTAGTCTTACGAACTGGAAGATTGTTTTAATTAAATGCGTGACTTCAGTTTTTCTTCTTTCTTATATTTCCATCGGTAGCTTGGAGTTTGACAGGAATGAGTTTATATCGCCGCTCGTGATCCTGGCATGATCAAAATGGTTCACACTTACAGATGGGAACACATCCTTTCTCAAGTGCACTCATCCTAATTTTTGGGCAATGTTACTAAAAGTAATAAGACGCCTTATTTTAGATGTTGCCAGTAAAAACTTGCGGCAGCTACATTACTTGTCTGAAAGTTTTAAGAAATTCACTTTTTGTTTCTTTGGTTTAAAAAGTACATATTAGCGAAGAAATGAGGGCATAATATCTACGCAATAGGGATTTTAGTTCATTACATTGATGAAAAAGTTAAAAAATTGCGTACTTACATTGCAACATTTAAAAATCTTTGGTTTTTCATCTATATTTTTAAAGAATAAATTACCTGAGATATTTCTCAGGAATATCCTGTGATTATTTTTTAATGAAGTACAGATAATTTACAGGAAACTTAATAAAAAACTTTTCATCAGATTTCTGTCAAAGAATAAACATGAGGATATACGTAAATGCAACGATGCAATCTACTCTAACCATCTGCATATACTTGTTGTCTTCCCCCACACTGAAAAAAAAAAAAATTACGGGCTATGTAGGCATACCATCAGGACTATATAGGGCTCAGAGGCCGAAAGTTCCGGGTGCTGGAGCCGTAGCTTCGACTGCTCTGGGAGCTACGCCCGGAACTTTCGGCCTCCAATCCCGGAACGCGAACCGTTTGTCTATATAGCCCGTAAGTATGACTTCCACGGCCAGAGTTTTTTTTTTTTTTTTTAAGTGGAATTCGATCCATATATCCATAAGTGCACAGGGTGAATCTGGCAACGTGCCACAAGTCTTGCACTAGACGTACACATGTCTGCTTGCTCTTTACAATCCACAATTTTCGACTTTAAATGGCACTTACTTATACTTCTTGACGGCCGCTGGAAGCAGCTCCGCGTTTCCGACTGCGCTTTTGATGGTGTCCATCCGCGCAGCGCATCAATCATCGAGACCACCGCTCACCGTTGACTGTTGCGAACTTTCGACCACTTTTTACGAGGCTCACCTAACGAGCAACATCTGAAAGCCGAGGCTCGGGCCTAATGCGTTAACGACTGTCTATAAAATCCGAAAGCAACAAGTGTTTGCTATTTGAATTACGGATGACACGGCTGGGTATTACTTACAAATCTGGGGAAGTGTAAAGGCCTGCCGATTCTGGCCAGTGACTGCATACCTGCCAGCTAACAGGATGTTGACCTACTCAAAACTCCTGAGACCTGACGCGCCCGACCTGGGAGTAGCATCGCTTTTTCATCCATTATGTTTAATGTTCTGCCTCTTGTCTACTGATTTCAGGTAGATATCAAAAACCCTGAATTAACAATTATAATTGAGGTACAATGGTGCAACATTTGTATCTGTGATTAATTTAAAAGTATCGTGGAAAAATGTGTCACATTACTTTTGGTTCATATCAACGTAAGACTACTTTATCTACCTTAAAATGCAAAGTATAGGGCTTCAAGCCTATGAAAACTAGATTATCACGTGCCCGTTTGTCTCTCAAAATATAGTATATTATAAAAAAAAATTCAGCACCTAAAATGAGACAAGAAAAACAAAAAGGTTCTGATGAATTTCATCGGTTTTAGTTTCAGCAGCTTCAATCCCAGAAAACCTCCTCACATATGCACTGAATCAAAGTCGAATGAGATATCAATCAAAGTGGAACATCTTATATTTGTTTGCATCTATAAAATTCACATTCGTTGTCGTCCCTTTCAAAGAATAGCCTGTCAATAATGATAGAATAGAAATAAAAAAGCTTGTAAAAATTCCATCAAAACATAATATTCTTGTTAGTCAGTTGAAACAACACTAACAATTAAATTATTTTTTTTTCTTTTTCGCATTAAAATCGACTTCAAGGATAGGAAAAGTTGTTAATAATATCATAAAAGGAAGCAAATTCTCATAATGCATTCATATTTTCGCAGATATTATTTTGTAAATTTCTATTTTACAAAAATTCTGATATTTTGTCTAATTATAAGCTGAGATTATCAATTTATTCGATACGATATTTTTCACCAGCGAACAGCGGTCGTAGTCGGCATAGGTCGATGTCTGATGTGTTGCATCACACAAAATTGAAGGCTGTGTAAGATGCGAAACGCAGCAACTCATTACGGTGCGCTGTATCTTCCGTAACCAAGCGACGATAGGAGCCCCAAGGCAATGGCTCGTTGATTTTGAAATATTGAATTAATTACCAGACTTTGGGAAAAATTTTAGACTGAGGATAGTTTGTTCGTGCGTCGAAATTCTAATTCATTGAATTTTTAAAAACTTCGACCTGGATGTCCTAAATTTTGAAATTTTTGTCCTCACCCATGAAATTCAAATTCTATTAAAAAATTACGGATATCAAAAGAAAATGTTGTTACCAAAATTGAAATAGTGCATTTAGAATTTTGAGCCAATCCAACGTTTTTATCAGAGTGCAGTCAACCTATTTTTTAATTAGTGCCCGTACGTTTAGATGGGTCTTTATTTATCGTGCCAGAAAATAATTTTATCAGTTCAGAAACAATGCCATCTATGGTATAGGTAAATGATTTTACGTGGGGGGGGGGGGTTATTTGATTGACACCTAATCAGTATTTAAGGTAGATAATGCCGAAAATGTTTAACTTTCACGTCGAATGTTCCTTGGTCCCTCACTTTGTTATTTTTTCATGATCTCTGGTAGATTATGTTATTATTCTTTCCTAATAGATACGCGATGTCCACACTGAAATACCTGCATGCCAAAGTACATTTTGTCAAAAATTTGGGCGGAATAATTCAATTCTTAAACTATTAGAAGAGTATAGCCAAACCTTTAGGACAAAAAGCTACACTGAAAAAAGAAGTTACGGGCCATATAGACATGACGTCCGTTCCAGACACAGAGGCCGAAAGTTCCGGGTGCTGGAACCGTAGCTCCGACTGCTCCGAGCTCTACACCCGAAACTTTTGGCCTCTGAGACCGGAATGCGGACGGTATGCCTGTATAGCCCGTAAGTACAGCTTCCACGACCAGAGTGTTGATCAAAGACCGACAAAATTGATCTATGACGGTGGAAAGTGTTGCGACAACAAATGAATAATCAGAGCACATAATTGTGTCACCGATATTAAACATCATCAGGCAGCTCACAATATATTCAACCAGTTTGACCACAAGATGGCTAGGAAAAGGTGGAGGGAGGGGGGGATAACCAGTTCAAGGAAAGTTTGTAGTAGTCAGCCGAGACAGAAAACAAAATTTGGAACTGTGCTGAGCATTTGCATTTTTCCTTTGGTGG